CCCATCAAACAAAATGGGGGCGCTAGAGAGCTCATTTCTTATCTAGGCCTAACCGCCATATGGATTTTTACTAAACTTGGTAGATATGTAGAACAGGACGCCTCAAGGTGACTGGAGAAATTTAACTCTAACTGGCAACTGGGTGGCGCTATAACAACAGAAAAATGCTTCAAAATGGCTAAAATGCGACCGATCGCTGTGGCTCCCCCTTCTTTCTCTAATTTTTGGTATGACTAAGTCATGGTATGGTATGCTGTACATAATCACGGAAACTGTCAGTTTGTCATTCTTGTCTTGTCTGTCCCACGTTTTTCTACTCACTGACGTGGTCAATCTATGTGAAACTGCACATAGGCATTGAGGATTGGTATAGATAGAAGGTGACAAAGCTACCAATGGGTATGGACTAGGTTTAGTCGGGAGCCAGTGTATGTTAGATAGTTTCTGAGTGTCATGCAATAGAGCTTCAAGAAGCTGACAGCAAAGACTACAATATATATTTTAAATTTTCTGTAGATATTGTGATTTTATTGTTATTGTGAGCTCTTTTGCCCATGATAATCATGTCGTAAAAATCTGACATTTTGCCATCTTAAAACTGGCCTAGAACATGTGTCTGTGATCACATTATTACAAACAGACACACAGCTAATCTGGGCTCTGTAGGATTTCGCCCTCTTGGGGTTAATCCGGCCATGTATCATGATTCAAGTAGAAGCAGACACCTCAGGTGTACTGCATGTGCATGCTCTGCATTTCCTAGCAGCAAGTCACGCTGTAGGCTGGATCCTCTTTCTTTTTTTATGTTCAGGCAACACCCTATTTTAACACCATCACAAGACACTCCTCTCCCTCATGACACACTGTGGTTTGAAAGCCCTGCCAGTCAACAGAAGAGCCAGGCCTATTATTCATAGAGCCAGTGTGTGTGTACGCATGTGTGTGTGTGCTTACCCTTTCGTGCCCCACCCCTGCCCTGGAGCTTGGGCGTATCACTTGAAACCCAACTCTCTAGAGCTGCTCTGTTTTGTCCATTGTGTTAGTCTGCCTTCTTTGACAAACACTCGTGCTCCATTTTTTTTTTTTTTTTTACAGTAACTGTACTCAGTCCCTCCCGTCTGTTCTGGGAACTTTTAGTCAGTGGAAGTAGACTCTGGCTGTCATTGAAAGCTATTGAGCACCACCTTGTGGAGAAAAGAGGCTATGGCAGTTGACAGTTTAGGAACTGGCCCTATTATTACAATTGCACAATGAAGAGCTCCTTTAGGAGAGAAAAAGTTGTCCCCCTAGGAAGTAGGAGAAGTTAGGAAATATCAAGCAAGTCACTCAGGACTTCTGAAGTAATCACGATTATGTGCAATTAACAAGTGATATAATATGTTTATATTTTGTCCTGTAGCAGCTGGATCTGGACAGATTGCAGGGATTGCCAGCGCCGTTGGAATGGCTCTGTTGGGAGCAGCATCCAGTTACTTTGCTTACCAGAAGAAAAAGCTGTGCTTCAAAGTGCAGGGAGGTCAGTGTTGTTATCTTAATATAACCAAATGTGGTATTTTTACAATGCCAGTAGACACACGGATAAAAGAAAGTCTGTCATCACAGTGGCTAACATGTTGTGTGTTTAGGTGCGGATCCAGAGAGGGGTAAAGTCCATCATGGTAACCAGTCTGACGGTACTCAAAGTAAGTGTCTTTGCTTATTAAAACTACTTTATATGCCATTGGGGAGTTTAATCCATAACTATGCATCATATTTAAGATCTCATATGTTTGAGTCATCAGCATCAGCTTAATGGAGTGCAGTAATAGCACAGTATATATATTATTGAACATATCCAGAACAATAGCTGCCTTAAAACAGATGTAAAAGGAAGAATTTGGAATAACAAAGCACCGAACCCAGGTATGTGTGTAGCCTGACATCTAGTGGCCAACAGCAGGTACTGACCTGCTCTGCACACAGTTGGGTTTAGGTAGTGATGTCCAAATGAAGCTTTGGTTTCAACCCTTTGTTGAACAAAGAGTGCCAGAGTGGACCCCAAAAA